CCGTTCTTTGACAACTCTCATTAATAAGTTATTTGTAGTGTGTCTGGCACCAACAGACTTTTTATGGTGAGAGCCAGTTATACTGACTTCCAGTCTGCATCAACAAGTCTCAGAGATGTTATCACCTACTGTACAAAACTGATATTCACTAGACATTTTGTATTCAGCACCACTCTTTGTAAACTCTACAATGTGTGAAATTTCAGTAATGCTAGTAGTATCTAATTTACAGTGACAACTGCATCTGGCATTCACAATCATTTCGCTGTCAAAGTGCTCATTGTTCTTTCCCATCTAAATGTTAGGTCAAACAACAGCTGGACCTTTTGGCCATGTATGCATGCTTTTATATATTTATTTACTCCCACAATTTGGTTATTTTGATTAAAATGGTCGATATGTGCAAGTTTAGGATTCCTGGCTAATGTTTCCTAATTAAATGTAACATTTTACATTTGCTTGTAGTTCTTCTTTTAAGAGTAAGATACAATGCAAGCATATGAAGCAAATTTTGAAATGATGCATTTTATTTTGCCTTGGGTGTCCCACTAGTGGTTCTGCCAATAATTTACTTTATTTTGCTTGATAAACCCATCTGCACAGGTTACTAGTATGGATCAAGTAGGCACAAGGAGACACATATTAACCTCCCTAGTGGTCTGATTATGTCAGTATTTCTGTTCTCAAAGCGGTACATTGTTTCAATGGAAATATGTTGTTTTTTTATTGTAGGCCTGTAATTCTTAGGAATAACTCACTGAAATCTGTCCGAACAAGAGTCTAGTAAACATCCCGGGTATGATAAAGTTTGAAACACGAAATCATGAATTATAATATAATAATCATAAAAAATAATAATATAATAATAAATTTAATTCCATAATGTAATCAAACCAAAAAACACTGAAATTTGAAATATAGCGCCAAGTTCGCACATCACTGAGCATAGTCGCAAAATCGTTTTCAGTGTCTGATGACGAATTTACCCACGAATCATTATCACTCAATTCTACAAGTGGTTCTAATTTACTAGTGTATTGAGTGAATGTCAAATTTTTTAATTTCCCGCCGGTTCCGTCCCCCGTATCTCCTGATGCTTGCAGGGAACAGAACCCGGAAGACGGACAGGGGGGGACATCGCGGGAGCGCAGGACAAGGTAAGTGCTAGAGGGATCCCAGAGCAATGCTGCAGTGTAATCCCGAGCATAGCTCGGGGTTACTGCTTCTGGTACTGAAAGTTAACCCCGAGCTACACTTGGGAATACCGCCAGGGAGGTTAAATAGTTGATATTTATGTCTTACAAAACGCTGCTCCTAGAAGAGTTTAGCATTTGACCTGTAGAAGCACCTAATGATATCCTATGTATCTTTGCACATTAGGTAGTCTAGACGTGTTTTTTAAGCTTTGCGTTTAGAGGCAGGAAAAAAACCCTTCTGTTTTGCATTTTTGAGAGCATTTTTCTGGCAGAAACTCAAAATGCTCCTAAACGCTAGTACAATAAAAACACTCAAAATTAGCATTTTTTCCTGCCAAGAGCACTGTCAGTTTTTTAAGCTAGTGTGCATGGAGCCTCAAGATTAAGTTCAACTTTTATAAAAATAAAAAATAAATAAAGGCACATCTTTTTCAGGTAAAATCATGGGTGCAATGCCCAGGATCCTGCAGTCTCTCAATACACTGTCTGACCATACCTTGTATGGGCAGGCAGTTACCAAATTGCAGAAAGAATCGAACTATGAGAGCGCTCACCAGCACCCCAGCAGTTCATTGAGAGCTAGTTGTAGTTTGTTCATTCATGGTATCTGTGAAGGAATGATGGGGCTCTGTGGATGGAGCTTCACACGACCATGCTGTTATTAAATTGTGACAGCAAGTGCCTGGAGAAGACTCCCCGCCCGCTTTCAAAGGGAGGCAGGAGCTGGAACAATGTTACAAAGGTGAATTTATCCTTTAAACTTGCCAGTAAAGTAGCACTAATATAAATGTAATGAACATTTTTCTTTGCCATCCTCAGGTAATACAAGAAAGAAACCTTTCTCAGCTGTACTTTTTTTTTTCTTTATACTTTTATTGCTATTCAAGAGCCCTGGTAGTATGGGCGACACATGTCCATTTATCTCTTTGTATCATTTTCAGCCCTTGTGAGTTGACACCTCTGCTTATTCATTCTTTAGGAGCATAATGAGCAGATCAGCCCCGGGATTTATCACCCTGCTTGGTATCTTATTATGAGATCTCTAAGCCCAGCTCCATATTATTGTTCATGCCCCCAGGGTGCTTTACGAATCTAGAAGTCTAAAATAAATGATCGTTATTTCTTTCCAGCAAACTGTTTTCATAGATGCATGTAGTTTTACATTCAGTTCTTCAGTAATATGTGTGCGGACAAGGAAGGAAGGAACACAAAACAACATGGAGGCTTTATTCCCCTCTGCTTATGTGGTTTCCAATAAGGTACTGTATGTATAATATAAAAGAGAAGTTCACCATTTTAAGTACTGATTTAGCAAGTCCATAGAACCAATATAAATCAGCAAGGTTTTCACACTGGAACTGGGGATCTGTAACCTCTGGGGATCAAGCGCAAAATCACATGCTTTCCCGACCCGCAGAGAAGTGGCTCCCCCCCATGCATTGCCACCTGCTGCTTGTTGTTGCATGCACCAAAGCTTGATGCAGAGCGATAAAAAAAAAAAAGGTGCTTTCCCGTTTTTTGTGTGTCCATAGCAGTCCATAGCTGCTCTACTTGCGACAGGGCTAACACTAGTTCATAAATGTTCAAGCTCAGTCACGTACCATGTTGCTAACTATTTTTGACTTATTTAAAAAGAAAAGTGTGTACTTTCTTACAGAAAACATTTTTTTTATGTCCACCAAAGAGCGCAGGAAAGAAGGTCCAGTGATCTAATTTGCAAGTTGTATAACAGAACAGCTGTGGTCATGTACCTTTTGTCTTTTTTTAGAACCTGTCTTCATTCTAGATTTAAAGCTAGCAGATTCCAAACTGGCAAGTTAAAAATTCCTCACCTGTGTTAAGCTACAAACCTTCACAAAACTCATCTTCAGTATTGGGAAGTTGCTTGTCCCTCTGAGATCACCTGTCTGGCCAGAAGCACATTATTGTGAAAAGATTTTGTATTCTTTTATCCCACAATTCATTAAAAAACACAGCTTTATATTCTAGTGCCCACTAGAGACTTCTCGCCGAACAATCTAAGGCCCTTTGTTCAGTTTCTGGAAGTTAAGAATTGTACTTTAGGAGATACTGCTTGTACTTAGTTTTGTCTTTAAAGGGAAAGTGCACTGCGCAGCACCTGCAAACTATTTAAATGCGCATATTAGGCTGTTTTCACACTGATCCACAGGTGCAGCGCAGTGCACCCGCAGCTTTCCTGCAGTTTAGCTGCCCTGAGCCTTAGATTTCTATTATTTCCCGGGTTTGGTGCGCTTTCAGAAAGTGCACTACACCTGCAAGATATATTAGGACTAATGGCTAACCTGCAGGTGCATTGTGATGCTGGTAAACCACAGCACATCAGTGTGCAAGCAGCCGTATAATGGGCTCAGGACAGTAAGGGCTTGTTTATATTTGAGGTTTGGGGAGGTGGTAAAATCCCATAGTTCATTGTGGCCTGCGATTGATTACCATTCGCTTAAAAGATAAGTTCACCTTTTGGACAAAATAATAAATGCACATTTTTTTGCAGGTAAAAAAATGTGCATTTATTATTTTTGTCCAAAGGAGCCTTGAAAGCAATGCACCAGCGATCAGTAGATTGCTGATGCCATGCAGGTCTCCTGCAGACCTGTCAGAATATCTGCTTGCTGTACGGAATGTTTGGTCAAGCAGATATTCCGACAGGAAGCTTGAATGAACTACCATGGCGCTCCACAGCGCCGTGGTAGGTCACTGAAAACTTCAAGCCGACAGCCGCAAAGACTGCTGGGACTTGTAGGCACTCATTCACAGAACTCAATGAATGAGTGACGCTGTCATGTGGGCAGAGCCCCACACAGCCACGCTGTTTTCAAATTTGACAGATAGTACGGGGAGAAGTTTCCCCATACTATCTGTCAGAGACAGGTTGGGGGGGTGGCAGCGGCTGCGGCTATGGGAACATATTACATGTTCTACCCTAAAAACTGGTGGAACATGTAACATGTTCCAAAGGTGAACTTATCTTTTAAAGCAGTAGTAAACCACAGGAAAAATAAAAAGTCCCTTGCAAGGTAATGTCATAATGTGCTAGTATGCATTGGATACACATTATGTAAAACTTACCTTAAAACAAAGCCCTCCAGCGATGCGCTGTCACTGCTGCAGAGGCTTCCATCTTCACCTGGTCTTCCTTCCAGGTTTGTGAGCTCCAGCCATCTGCCAGGCTGGGCCATGATGACATCACTCCCACACGTGCGTACAGGAGTCCTGGGCCACGGCACAGGCTCCTTCAAAGCACATGTGTTGGCTTTAAAAAAGAGAGACTATCTCCTAAACAGAGCACGTTTAAGATATATTCATTTTACCTACAGGTAAGCTTTATTATAAGCATACTGTGGGAAAAATTTAAAAGAACGAGATTACAACCACTTTAAAGTGGTTGTAAAGGCTCAAGGTTTTTTACCTTCATACATTCTATTCAGGTGTCAGATGCGCAGGCTGTGCATGGGATGGGTGTCAGGGGGGGCGTGCAGGCTGTGCATGGGATGGGTGTCAGGGGGCGCAGGCTGTGCATGGGATGGGTGTCAGGTGCACAGGTTGTGCATGGGATGGGTGTCAGGGGGCGCAGGCTGTGCATGGGATGGGATGGGTGTCAGGGGCGCAGGCTGTGCAGGTGGGGGATGGGGGTGTCAGGGGGCGCAGGCTGTGCATGGGATGGGTGTCAGGGGGCGCAGGCTGTGCATGGGATGGGTGTCAGGGGGCGCAGGCTGTGCATGGGATGGGTGTCAGGGGGCGCAGGCTGTGCATGGGATGGGTGTCAGGGGGCGCAGGCTGTGCATGGGATGGGTGTCAGGGGGCGCAGGCTGTGCATGGGATGGGTGTCAGGGGGCGCAGGCTGTGCATGGGATGGGTGTCAGGGGGCGCAGGCTGTGCATGGGATGGGTGTCAGGGGGCGCAGGCTGTGCATGGGATGGGTGTCAGGGGGCGCAGGCTGTGCATGGGATGGGTGTCAGGGGGCGCAGGCTGTGCATGGGATGGGTGTCAGGGGCGCAGGCTGTGCATGGGATGGGTGTCAGGGGGCGCAGGCTGTGCATGGGATGGGTGTCAGGGGGCGCAGGCTGTGCATGGGATGGGTGTCAGGTGTTCAGGTTGTGCATGGGATGGGTGTCAGGGGGCGCAGGCTGTGCATGGGATTGGTGTCAGCGGGCGCAGGCTGTGCATGGGATTGGTGTCAGCGGGCGCAGGCTGTACATGGGATGGGTGACAGGTATGCAGGCTGTGCATGGGATGGGTGTCAGGGGGCGCAGGCTGTGAATGGGATGGGTGTTAGGTGCTCAGTGTGTGTATGGGATGGGTGTCAGGTGTGCAGTCTGTGCATGGGATGGGTGTCAGGTGTGCAGTCTGTGCATGGGATGGATGTTACCTGCCCACCTGACACCCATCCCATGCACAGCCTGCACACCTGACACCCTTTAACTCCTTCCCACCTGGCCTATTGTACAATACCGGCTGAGCGGAAACCCTCCGACACGAGACACAGGACACGGCCGATGACAGATCACTACACCGGCCCTCTGCCAGTGTCAGTCACCAGTTTGGTTTCTGTTTTCGGCCAAGTGCATCCTGAATTTTCATTTTTGGCACCAGAATTTACATTTTGGTGCACCCCTAATATACATGTTTGCTATTTTCAAGAAAAAAAAAATTAACCTTTAGAATCTCTTTAGGTGGGCCTTGCTTTTCAAAAGGTTGCGCACCCCTGGATTACTTTGATATCCTGTGTTTTCCCCAAGAGATAAAGTGAGGTGAAATCTCTCCCAACAGGTACACAGACAGCATGAAAAACTTGGATCCTAGCACTTCCCCTCTCTATCCGGAAAGTTTTGTCTACTGGCGCACCTGTTGTCACACACCGTACATTTGATCCTGACATTGTTTGAATTGAAATAGTCAGACATATTAACATTTAGGGGACGGAATACTCTAGTGTGATCATTGCCCAGTACCAGAAATGTGAGGCAGTGGGTGTGTGTTGGTGACCGTTTGAGCACTCAACCCAGAGACTAGGGATTTGAGGTAGTGTACACTACACTTGTTACACTTAGGGCTCGCTCACACCAGCATTGCCCAACACATTCCCAGCACTAAGACAAGGCATGTTGCATTTTTGCAGTTTAAGGTTAAGTGATATTAAAGTAATCTTTTGATAGGCTTTTCAGCCTTTCACTATATGATTGTTTATTCCTGCACAAACTGCTTTTATATCCATCCATCTACTCTTGGTTACTGGACCTGTATATGTAAGGCTATTTGCTTGATACCCTTATTATTTCTACGTTCCTTGCAGGATTGTTCTTAGTTACCTTTGTTGGCTGTCTGTTGGTCCAATGTTACACGTACCACGTACTGTCATTGAATATGTACTTCTCTAACCCGCTGTTTGATATGTTGGATCGTGACATTTTGGGGTTTATTTACTAAAGCTGGAGAGTCCAAAATCAGACTCCCTTCTGCATAGAAACCAAATCAGCTTCTAACCTCAGCTTGTTCAATGAAGCTTTGGCAATGAAACCTGGAAGCTGATTGGTTTCTATGCAGAAGGGAGTCTGATTTTGGACTCTTCAGCTTTAGTAAATAAACCCCTTTATGTCTTTCCTCTCTTGTTTTCTTATAAAAAAATTATAAAATCTTTTGCTAAATGAGCTGCTAATAGCCGAACTTTCATGCTTTTACTCTGCCTTTATTGTTTTTCTCCTCTGAGCTTCCTTCTCATACTGCTACCCAGCCGCACTACCCAACTCCAGGTATGTGGGTGCCCAAAAATATATTTTGACATACAGTATATACCCCTGATGTCTCAGTGAAGAGTACCTTGCAAATCTATCACAAGGGATTTGTTCACCCCTTGTGATGGCAATAACGTTAAGTGAAAACATTTTTTAAATAACCCTGTTTTCCCCCGTGCATGCATGCAAATTCGCACCTAAGTCTAGCACGTATATGTAAATGGCGATTTCACCACACACGTGGTAACGCCACAAATGCTGATGTGAGAGCAATAATTCCAGACTGATATCCTCTAAACTGATAACCTGTAAAGACTTTTAAAGCGTCACCTATGGACATTTTAAGGTACCATAATTTGCTGTCATTTCCCAGGCGTGCGCTATTTTAAATCTTGACATGTTTGGTATCTAATTACTTGACAAGTCATCATCTTTTTTTTATTTTACAAAAAAAAATTGGGTAATATTTTATGTTACATGCACTAAATTTCATTTAGATGTATTTTTTCTGAAAATTTACATTTGATAAACAACTGCGCAAATATCATCCAACATAAAATGTTGCAACAGCCACCATTTTATTCTCCATTGCCTCTTCTTTCTTGTTTAAGGGTTCTAGGTAATTTTCTAGCAAAAAATGGAAATTTTAACATGTATTTGAAACATTTTAAAAATGCCCTTGTAGACAAGTGGTTAATATCACTTTAAATAAAAGAAAAAGAAAAGTAAATTTTAAAAAATCAAACGGCGATGAATTCTTCATGTAATTCTTCTGTAACCATTGGGAACGTATTAAAGGAATGAAAAAACTAGAATAAAAATGGGTTCTAGCAATGCTGACCAATTAAGTATCATCTCTTATAATACACAAAAATGAAGGATTCCAAGCAGGTAGCAGAGCTTGCACTTTATGTAATGAGGAACTAGGTAAATATACATGAACACTTACAGGTTTGTAATTTACATTAAGGGGCTCATATCCACATATAAAACAGAGGAAGTATAGATGTCTGTTAGCAGTCTGTAATGTGTAGCTGGGTCTGGAGACACCTCAGAAGCTGTTTATGCAGTTCCTCTGTGCAGCCAGATGGTAGCATTCCACGCACAATATTCAGCGGCTAAAGTCTGCGTTCACAGCCATTTGTTATCATTACCTAAAAGCATCCCTGTGTGTACTGCACATTCCCAATTAACTCTGGCCCTTAGTTCTGTTAGCCAGCTTGTAGGTTCTCTCTCACCTTCTCAGTGATTCACAGTGCAGATAAAACATGCATTCATTGTTCATTTATTGGGTTGCATCGTGTCCAGGTTTGCTTTTTTCACATGGAATCCAAAAATGAATATATGCTGTTTTGTAGGTAGATTGGGAAATGAAAAGCATGTTTTTAAAATTACATTCCTCTTAAAGGACTACTTAATCTAATATATAAGTCACATTGTATAAAAGAGCTGCAAATGACATTCATATTTGTGTATGCAAAAATATTCACCCCAGCACAGAAAACCACATTCTTGACGTTTTTGTAACGTTGCAGTGCAGCTTAGAAACCATGTGTTAGAAAACCATAGTGTTAGAAACCATATTATATACCAGTGGGCACAAAAGTGACAGTTTTCTGCCATGAGACTACTGAACAGGAAGCCAGTTGTGTGTTGTAAAATGATGCCCACTCAATATAGACTTAAAGCGGAGCTCCATCCAAAAGGGGAAGTTCCGCTTTAAGGATTTCTCCCCCGCTGCCCATTAAGGATTAGCACCTTTGGGGGGTGGGGGCAGCGGGTACCCGCTCCCATTTCCGATCCAATCACCTAGGCAATCGGAAACGGAAGGTGTCCTCCCTCCCTTCCTTCCTGTAGACACATGACAGGTCCCAGAAGACTACAGGACCATTCATGAAGCGCAGCGCTACTCGCGCATGTGCAGTGGGTACCCGGCTGTTGTAGCTTGCGGATTGTGCCCACACTGAAGATGTCGGCCTCCTGGAATACAGGACGGCCGGTGAAACGGGCTGTGGAGAACACACCATGGGACTGAGGGACAGGTAAGTGGCTGTTTTTTAAAATTCAGCAGCTACAGTTTTTGTAGCTGCTGACTTTTATTTATTGACAGGTGAGTGGAACTCCACTTTAAGCCAGCCATAGATGGTTTGAATCTCAGCCAGTTCAGCAAGGATCGGCCAAGTTTTGAACCATCTATGGGCAGGCTGATTGTACCCATGTCGATCCATCAATAGACTTGGGTACAACCAGCATGTCGGATTTTTACATGCTAATATTCCTGGCAACTATAGATGTAGGAGAACACAATAGCTCAGCGGGAGGGATTCCCCTATCATCCACTATGGTGGGGGAATCAAGCATTTTGGTTGCAGGAAAGAAAATTGCACCATCTATGACCTGCCTAAATGTATAAGCGCAGTTTCAATGGTCATCTTTACCCCCTCCTCCCAGGCCTTCCTTATCACAATTATAGAAAAAAAATTCTACATCACATTGTCCCACTTACCCAGGGCTGGACAATGCTTTAAAGGATAAGTTCACCTTTTAACAAAAAATAGTAAATTCACAATTTTTTGCAGGTAAAGAAATGTGTATATACTGGTGCCATGCAGGTCTCCTGCACACCTGTCACTGTATCTGTGTGCCTGTACATTGTACAGTCACGCAGATACATTCTGACTGTAAGACCTAATGAACTACCAGAGCGCTCAGAAGCGCTGTGGTATTTCATTGAGAACTATAAGCCGACAGCGGCAAAGGCTGAGTACTGTGAATGAGTGATGTGGCTGTTTTTTTTTTTGTTTTGTTTTTTTTCAAATTGTGAAAGCTAGCAGGGAGAGAAGATCTCCTGCTAGCTATCAAAACAGGAGTGCGAGGGCCGGTCTGTTTTGTAACATGTTATATCCTGAATATGGATGTAACATGTTACGAAAGGTGAACTTATCCTTTAAGCCGGCCATAGATGGTTAGAATCCTGTGGAGGCAGGAAAGAAAATTGCACCATCTGTGGCCTGCCTTACAGACTCCAGTTCTTGCTTTACCGCTCCATACTTCATCCCTGTAACTAATTGTGGACCTCACGCTGCACCTCGTTGGAAAGTAATGGCCCTTACCAAAAGTGGTAATTAAGTTATGGATGGACCCAGCCACTCCCTTATATCTACTGAGAACTCTGGTATGATTTGTATTTGTGAGCATCCAGATTCACTTTTATAATGTATTGTGATGTTCGTTTTGTCTTAGAAAAAGGTGTTACAAAACAGCATAATCAGATTATACATACATTTCTCAACAAACTGTGGCCTGGCTGGGCTGGTACAAATAAAACAAGCAACGACAATCATCAGTCATTGATAACAAAATGTGGTCCCATTGGGACTTGGAAATACAATAAATGAAGAAGTAAAGAAAAAACTAAAGAGAAAACTTTTGTCAGACCTAGTTTTG